TGACCCAAAATGGAATAAACGGGTAAAGATAATGGATGGATGGATGGGGACAAAGGGAGACTTTCAGCCCAAAACACCTCATACCAGCTGTCAAGCATGGTGGTGGTAGCATCATGCTGTGGAGCTAAAGTGGATGAAAAACTGAAGGAGGACTGCCTAAATATTATCCAATCATGCCAATTTATTAATAAAGCTTATTTAAATCAATAGGTTGTAACAAAAGTGCTGCTCAGCAACAATAAATAAATTTATAAAACAGCAAAGATTAAAAAAAAAACCTAAACAAACAAGTTAAAAATAAATGTAGTGAACAGTAAACAGGGAACGCCGTATCCATAAAAGCCTGAATGAGCTCACACTGGGTGAAATATCAGAGAGAAGAAATTAAAGACATTTAAAAACAGGAAGTGAAGCAGCATAAAGTGTTTAGGAGCCGCGGCTGAAAAAGTCCGAGCTTCAGTCGAGTTTTCAGGACGACCAGAAGCAGCTGATCAGCTGATCTCAGAGATGCGCAGGAACTTCAAGTGCGTGGAGACGTACGAGAAGCAGAGACCGTTAAGGTGTTCCTAACTCAGCATGAGGGTTATAAAATAAAATCTGTGTCTCTCAGGGAGCAGGTGGAGTGAGGACAGGGCAGCTGAAATGAGTTCAAATCTGGGGGCTCCATTTAGGACGAGCAGCGGCGTTTAGACAAACTAGAGGCCTGACTGACCCCAACATAAAGAGGGCTACCGCTGTCAAAGGCATGGATCCTCCTCTCCAGCTCAAAACTGGCTTTAATTTGAACTTCTGTCTGAACTGAGAGAAGTTTTCCTGCAGAACAGAGTGAATCTGTTTATTAAAGCCACAATTAAAGTCTGGTGGACTGTTTAGGATCCGGCTCCAGGGAGGATTGCAGGAAGTAGAGCTGAACACGATACCTTCAGTTTAAATACTGTTAAAGATGAAAAGGTTCACATCCATCCATTACATTTACCCGCTTCTTCCTTTCTGAGTCGCTGGTGTCCATGTCCAGCAGTCACTGTGTGAGAGGTGGGGGACATCTGGACAGGTCTCCAGTCCATCGCAGGGACACATAGAGACAAACGGCACAAACAGCCATTCATTCACACACCGAGGAACAATTTATAGCTAACAACAGTCACTGTTAGCCTAATGTGTATGTTAAAATAAAATGAAATGAACTAAAATATTTTTGTTTCTGTCTAAATAAAAATGTTTGCAATTCAAAAACAAAACATTTCATTAGGGGATGATACATTTATTCATAATCTGATCTATTATTGTTATTATTGATTGGGAAAAGAAAAACTAGTCAACGAGGACCCAACAGGAGGATTTATTCTGTCTGGTTGTCCTCAGAGACAGCATCTTTTCAAACATCTCTTCATTCATGGAGTTTGACGTCACGTGCTTGTGTTTGTAGATGACGTGTTCTCTGGCGCCCCCTAGTGTCTCTCATGAACAAGTTTTTTTTTTCCAATTTTTATCTTTATTTAGAACTTCCCTTCAAATACAAAAATCTAAAAAATACACACTAAATAACACTGAACATATCAAAAAAGGAAGAAAAAAGGAAGCAAACAATAATAAAATAAGAAAAATAAAATAAAATAAAAATACAAAGATAAATAAATGCGAGTTACAAAGTTAAGTTGTATTCATTACAGATATTTTTTGTTTGTATAGCCTTTTTGTTATTTGAGTCTGAGATTGTGTCAAGATACAGTTTTACATCCATTACAAAGAGATCAAAAAAAGGTTTCCTGGGCATTATTTTACTTTTATGGATATGGAACTTAGCAAGAAACAAGATCAGACTGATAATAAATATGTTGGAGGAGTCTTTCGTCTTGAAATCTAGGATACCATCTAATAAACAAGAGTCTGTGGAAGCAACCCATGATCCATGACATCATCAGGAATCGGACAATTTGGATTAAATTAAAAACTTTTCTCGTTTCATTGTTTTTGTTGTTGTTTGTCTCTTGTAATTTTCTTTAAGGTTTGATTTTACCAATAAATGCATAATCAATCACCATATTTTAACTTTAGATTTACAAATGAGTACACCAGCCATTGATGTGCATGTTCTAATGTACTGTATAGCATTCTGGAATA